AAAGCCAATCGACAGCTGGTCAAGAGGAATTCGCCGTCGTCTTATGGTGGAACCGACCTTCGAATCTCTTTACCCAACACTTCTACTCGAAATGGAAGTAATTCCAACGATGACTAATTAGTCAAAGATAGACAAGCTGAGACATTTTTTCGTGAGTGGTTTGCCCAAGAGCACTCGTAGCAATGTGGCGTAATGGTCAACGTGTCGAGCTTATAAGTTGTACTGTCATGGTTAAATTCCCGCTTGGGGTGTTTATAAGACCTAGGCGAGGTCGAAACTGCAGTCCACCCTAGATGATATAATCTTTTGGGAAAGCAAGGCTATGTGAAATTCAATGGAAACGTCAGCTTTACCCATATCATTGTGGGACAAATCAATTACCAGTCCTTCCGCGCCTTAAACGAAATAGGGTGAATACAACTCATAAACTGAAACCTTTTCTCACGTCCTAACTTTGCCGTCATGCCTTCCTTTTTAAGAAGATGGGCAAATTGGTGAGAAGGAGGGTTAAAAACAGTGCTCTAAGAAGCCCTTATACTTTCTTCTGTTATACCATCTTTCAGAGAGAAATATAACCTATTATCGGGATCAAATCTTGTGTTGGTGAGACGTGTCGGCTTATTCGCCAGAGATCAGGTGAACACAAAAATGGCCGTAAAGGTATCTGGGTCCAACAGTCAGAAGCGGTCAAACACATGTCAGAGACTGGACATGAGATACAATAATTTCAAATCCGTTGGTCTGCTAGCATCTTATTATCTTAATCAGTGATGCTTATGGACTTACGGCAATCTCGATCTTGCTTTTATTTCGATCATTAAGCCCTGATGATCTGAGCCTGACATTAAGCTTTTTTTACTAATTCTGATTTAAGGCCGGTATTGCATATAGACGTTAACATACACTCAAGCAAAGTGCCGTGACCAATATAAAAGATTATAGGCCAATCATTTTCTATCTATCTATGTCTATATAATTTCATTTTTTTAATTATGAGTACATATAAAAGATAAGGTAGAGCCGGACAGCCTTTTTGACTTAGTGTTAACGTGACATTTGCAAGAATGAATTCCAGCTCTGATCATATCTATCATATGATGGATAAAAGCTTAGCTCACCTTCATTCGAAACGAAGGAGGATGTCTCTAGTATGTATCAGCCTGAACGGGAATCAGCCGTCGTCTTGTGGTGAGATCGACCTGAGAATCTCTTCTTCATGCACTTTCATACTAAATTAAGGTCTCTCCAACAGTATTAAAAAGAAACTTGACGAATTCTATGAGTCAAGAGCATTGGGCCATTGTAATCTTTTCATTTTTACTTAATTGAAACTTTCTGTTTATAAAGTATTCCCTCATTTGGTTGGCTATTTCGTTGTCCCTTGTGCTTGCTAAGCGAAGCTTATCAACAGATTACCTAATATGCTTTTTTATTTCATTTATGATCTGTAATTGGTTCCTTCTGTGATCATACAGTGATGCAGTGTTAAAAGCCTTTTGTGGCTGTGAGGTTTCATACACTCAGATAGCTTGATACCAACCTACAATTTTTTACACTCTGCCTCCTTATTTTGAATGTAAATGCTCAAGGCATTCTTGTTAATTCAGTTTTTTTCATTCCGCTATTAAGACGTTGGGTTTTTACCGCACCTTCAACATAAATGTGAGCTGAGAGAGGTCTGCCTGATCCTCACAATCGAATCAGCCTCTTAGTTAATGGTGCTAAGGTGATGTGGGTTTGTGAGTAATTTGTCTGAATGCTTGACTTTGAGACTACTGATTTTATTTAGCTTAGGCTAAAATTATTGTCCATCTGACTGGGAGCCTAACTTTGAAGCACATGGCAAGGTGAAACTATATGTCAAGAGCAAGTGTTTCTTTCAGTCAATATGGGCATATTAAATACCAGCTTCCAAGTCGCCAACCGATCACTGCTCAACCATCTTAAAACTAAATTTCCTGGTATCTTCTACTTCGCCATCATTAAATAAAAATCGTGTTGCTTTGGGTTTGTTACCATTTTTATAGCTCTTTGCGCTTGGCCCTTCGTACACCTATGGTTCTCCTATACTTCCTCTACGCTCTCTTCGGAGGGGCAATATGTTCATTGGTTTTTGAGTTTCTTTTCGTGGTCATCGCCAGAGAACTTCGGCCACCAGCCTATTTCATCGGCCTCATGACAACGGTGATGGTCATTAGCGAATTGCCAGCATTCGTCTTGTGTGGGGAAATTCATCGAAGATTGGGTAGGAATAAAATCATGATGCTTTCTACTCTATGTTTTCACTCCCATTATTCGTTTTTTAGCTCTGAAATCCCAAACCTGTGGCCTTTCAATCTGAGCTCCATGTTTTTGCACCCGCCATTACTTTGCATTTTTTTATTCATTTGAATTTAGTACTTGTTGATAAAGCAATGATTCTAAGAGATTAATTCTATGTGTTTTCCAAATAATATTCAAATGTTTTATACCACATTTATTTTAACTTTTGCAAAATCACATTCATGGTCATTTTAGATATGAAGAGAAACTGGGTTTCGATGAATCTCTTGAGATAATATTGTTAGAGGGACTTTTAGTTCGCATGAAAGTGAATGAAGAAGAGATTCGTTGGTCGATCTCACCAAATGAGGACGGACGAATCTCGTTGGACTGCAGCCGTTTGGCTTTTATACGATATTCTCGTTTACGCAGTCCAAAAGACCTTCTCCCTCGTTTCGGGGGAAAACGTGTTGAGCTTTCGTCCATCATTCGATGGACATCATCAGAGCTTGGTGTCATTCTTGTAAAAGTCTCACTTTAAAACTTAAGCAAAAACACTATCCGGCTCTATCTTACTTCTTATATAGACTCAATTGAGCCAAAAGAAAATTAAAAACCTAGGTAGATCGATATAGAGTGGTTCAGTTAATTTTTTTCATACTGGTCCTGTTATTTTTGCTCGATTCTATGAGTATGTGCATTTGTGCGTGTTAGCGTCTATATGCGATACGGTTCCTAAATCAGAATTGTCAAAGCTTTAATCTCAGGTTCTGATCCTTAAGACATGATGACTCAAGAGAAAACCTTGACTGAGACTGCGTAGGTCTGTAAACAAGTATGGTTGAGATAATGGAATATTAGCTTGTAAGCATGAAAATCAAGTTACGAAACCATTTGTCCTAACCTTTCAGTCTAGGGTCATTAACGTTTAACCTTCCGAGGAAAGGTAAGACTGTGGTTGCGAAATCTGACATGTCTGGTTTAGTTGATGAGCTTACTCTAACATTTTGGATGAATGTGACTGAAATTAGAAACATCACTGAGCAGATAATTGAGTCGCCTTCTTTTTTACGGCGGCTAAACACCCTCTCTGTCTTTCAATCTATTAATCAAGCATATGTAGTTCCTACTCAACTTACTACCATCGTTCCTTACATCCAACATATTTCCTAAGCTATTAATTTCAATAACCTCTCTTTTTTTTAACACAGACGTACCATAATCAGCAAACCTACTATTTGGGACCATTTTATTTCATGTCCAGTTTCTATCATATGTTCGGCCATTTCTGAACGTTGGGTTTAGCTACCTCTGCAAGCATTTTTGTGTTTTATCAATCTTTATCGAGTTGGTCGGCATGTCTCACCAACATAACATCGACCACATGAGCAAACAATCTTGTAGTAGCCAGATCTCGATAATCGGTCATATTTCTTTCTAAAAGATGGCATATCAGAAGAATGTGTGATGGTTTCTTTGGAAACTGTTTTGATGCCCCACTTCTTTACTAATTCGCCTATCTTTTTTGAGAGATACCATGACGGCAAAATTAGGACATGGCAAAAGGCCTCCGTTTGTCTCTCTTTGACTAACTGGTCTCCGCCTGAAAATTTATTCCTCAGTAAAAAGATATTATTCTCAAAAAGGCCTAAAGGATAATTATTTTCCAGAAACATATTTGACAGCCGTTGCAACTCCTTAGTCAAATATTTGCTATCCTCTAGCCTCATACTTCTAAGAATCATTGACTTCAAAATTCTAACCTTAGTCTTGTAACTATGGTTGGAAAGAAAATTAAGCAAAGAACCAACATAAGTTGGCTTTCTATAAACATCTTTTCCTAATTTACCCTTTTCCCTAATGATGAGAACATCCAGAAAAGGTAAGGACTTATTCTCTTCCATTTCCATCGTGAACCTAATGTTTCTTTCTCGCTGGTTGAGTGAAAGTAGGAAATTATCTAAATTGTCCTTACCATGATGCCGGATGACAAAATAATCATCAATGTATCTAACCAACAATTTGGGTGTTAGTATTACCTCTTTCCGGAAGTTTTTTTCAAATCTTGCCATATAATTGTTGGCTAAGATAGGAGACAGGCAAGATCCCATCGCTAATACTAGTGTTTGTTCGTATAACATACCACCAAAAGTAAAATATGTGGTACTCATGTATAAGTTAATAATGTATAATAATAGAAGCTAAACTCAGCCTTATTCCTTGTGTTATCTCTGGTTGTTCCTCCAGAGTTTGTATCAGAGCGTTAATAGCTCTTTGGACAGGAATGTTTGTGCACATAGACACAGCGGCAAAGCTTACTAGCTTATCCTCTTCTGAAATTGTCTGCTAATCCAGCAATTTCACACAATCATACAAATTTTTAATTGAATATAGTCAATAATTGGCAGGGTTGCTTAGTTGTATGCATAAAATCCGTGATATTTTATGCATCACGCTTACTTTATAATTTACAATTAATCTTATGGGGGGTCCCACTTTGTGAACCTTAGGGGGGATGTGGGGGCCCTTGCATCTCTCTGGAGTAGTTAATTCATTTTCCACTTTTCCATTTCACCATTGCTTATGCATACCTTAAGGGCATCTTTTAGCCTAGTCTTAATTCTTTCTGTAGAGTCTCTCAATAAAGATCTATACCTGTCATTATAATTTTAATGTACTAGTATTTTTTCTACATATCTTGACTTACCCATGACTACCACTGTTCCACCTTTTTCGGCTTTCGTTATTATTAGATTATTATTACACAGATATCTAGAAATCCTACTAAGATGACAATCTTTCTTAGGCGGTAGTATATGTTCAAAATGAGGGATCACCACCAGCTTAATA